CGGATTAACCGTATTTACATTGAACCTTATGGGAAAATTTTATTCGGGTCGTGACCAATTCGGGTTGCGACTAGAGTCGCGGAACGAATTAAGTTTGTGACCCGAGGTACCACTGTAGTAACAAAAATGAAAAGCAGCAACAAAAACAAACTTTATTTCTCCTTTGGGATAGCTTCTAAGTATGATACACAGAGGAAGGTGAGTCCTGCTGAAACAGAGATAGGTGTTAAAACGCAGGTCTAAAATCAAGAGAGTTTCCTTACCATCTCTCCACCAACAGCATTGTCCAGCAAGACTGCCACCCAATCCATAGGCTCTGGGCTTTTGTTGTGAAGAATAACTTCTTCCATCTTGGAGGTTCCAAAGTAGACACATCCAAAATTAACACACTGGATAGTATTTGAGTGAGGCGCACCTAAAACCTCAAGAACTTGTTCCACAATATTGGCTTTGATCCTTATCTCAGTAGTGGGCCCTCCCTGCAACTCCACACTTTGGATAACAATAGATAAAAAGGAATGGTGGGCTTGAGGACAATCATAGGTAAGATTAATAATTCCATAATAAATCATTTGGAATTTAAGATTTTATTAGCATATTTAAATAATATACACATATATAACTGAAACTTATAAAGTTGCCTATTCGTAACATTCAATGCTTATCAGAATAGAAAGTGTGCTCAATATTGCATAATATTAGAAGAGTTATGACTGTACTAATTCTCCATCAGTTTGGAATAATAAAGGAATTCTCCAACAATTTGGAATAATAAAGGAAACACCAAACTTCAATATAAGAAGGATTTTTAAATGAGGCTTCAAATTAGATTTTATTGAGAATTGGGGTCTACCTTTGCATTTTATTTAAATAAAATTAAAGACATCTGATACTGTGATATCCAATACACTGAGCTCTATCATGTAATTTATTTAAGCAGAGCCATTCATTCTTTAGATAGGAAACTGAGTAGTATGCAATAAAAAGGTTCACTCAGATTGTTCTTATTACATAGACTGTAAATTGAATTGGCAATATTTGTACTTATTTCACTGACACACATAGTTAAACATATCTACATAATGAAAGGGCAAAGAAGGCATATTTATATGTACTATAAAACTGAACTCAAGAAGCAAATCAAAAGAGACAATACAGCAATTTAAATGTACTATACTTACATGGCTGGTTGGTTAATTATTTTGGGTACATCAGTACATATCTCCATTTTAATCAACTTTATTGTTTTTGGTTCTATCACGCCACTGATTGGTGCTATAATAATTGGAACACTTCCTCTATATTTTATGTCAAATGTACCTTAAAATGTAAAAATAAAACCATTTTATCCAACATGCACTGAATTAAATACTAAGGGACAAAAACTTTTTTTGCCTCTGGCAATAAAAGGACCACACTAGAAACACGATAGACTAGATGCAAAGCTCCTCATCAAGGTTCTCTGTGTTCCTCAGCTCTCTCTCCTCACTCATCTTTGTACAAGCATGGGGATGAACAATGATGAGTTGTTCTCTGTAATTCATTGTTCACATCCATTATTCTTTTTAGAAGAGATGTCATTCTAAAAGTAGAGTATAAAAAGAGGAGTCTTGTTACAGTTGAGAGCTGGGGTCACAAATAATAATTTAGAGTTGGGCTACCATGTCAAGAAAGCGAATGTATGCTTATAAGTCCTCCAAAGTGAAGCTAAAAAATCATAAATAAATAAATGTTCAACCCAAGCAAACAGACAACTCAAGCAGAACTGCAGACTCATCATAGATACAGCCATAGAAATGAAGGAAATAATTAAAAATTGAACATTTATACATTATGCCTTAGCTTTATATGAAAACTAAAAATTTAAGCCTGTCCATCTCTTCCACCCTGTTTGAGAAGATGGGCTGCAAAATCCCCTCCCAAGATATTATGGGGGAAGAAATCCAGGAACAAAACTTCTTGAAAGTTGTCCTTACTCTGGAATAGCCCCCTCCCTGCTTACACTTTGGACAGCAGTGAAGACTGGTTTTCCAACAAGCCTTGAAGGCAGAGAGTGCTAGTTAATTGGAAATTACTACATATGGGAGTGTATTGATTTATATCATTTGCATGATGTAACATATCTTTATTTTTCATCCACAGGGGGACAAATGACAAATGTCAAACAAGTATCGCACTATCATAATGCAAGCTCCTACCCTTTTATACATCCATTGCAAGTTGCACACACAAACAAAAATGGCATTGTGCTGTCACGACACTAGTTTGTCATTCTGACAAAAAATCATCAGGCTATATGGTGCATCTTAACATGCTTTTATTATTTTTATTACTTTTACATATAAACCACCTAGAATCAGCTACTTACAATTATGCATAAATAAAAATAAATTATACAGATTATGTGCCATCAAGTCAGTGTCAACTCTTAGCAACCACACAGATATTCTTTGTGACAAACTGTCCCTAACCTGCTCTTTCAGGTCTTCCAATGGTTACATAGATTATATAGATGCTAGCTTCTTAATCCCAGATTGTTTTGAAACCATTAACCATATCCCATGTTTATATATATTGACCACATTCACAGGATATGCTGAATATAGTGCAACATTAACCCACATTAGGTGACTAATCTGTCATTCTTTCAATGGGCAATCCCAGTTGTAACTACCACTGACTGTGTGATGGGGAAGTCCAAGTACAAAAAGTAGCTTATGTGGTAGAGTATAGCTGCTACATGGGCTTCACTATAGTCAGCAACTATACTTGCAAAACCAAAAGCACTTGCCAAGGATAAGCAAACAACAGATCCAAGTTTGGATAATATATCCATGGTTGAGGTACACTACCATAAAATAAACACAGTTTCATATTGTGGTTAAAGCACTCAGTCTTAACATAATGTACCCCATGGTCCAAATCCAGTCAATAACCTAAATCAAAGCACAATATGGTTTACCATGTGATTTGTTTCTGGTTGGGTGGGTTGATATTTCATGCTGAGCCAAAAACAAGTCACATTATGACTTAGCTAAGTGTACACCTAGCTAAATATACTAAACTACATAGAAAATATTTACCTGGGGATGATCCATAGTTTGTAATTTTGGTTACTGCGTGTATTATTTTACTGTTTGCAATTATTGTTCCAAAATTTATCTCAGGTTCAATTTCTAAGCGACAACATGGACGTAATCTGCAAAAAAAAATGCACTGTATTGGTTTATGTCATCATTTTATTGGTTTAATTTTTAAACACTTTTGTACAGAAATAAAGTATTTTTGGATTTTTTCAGCAGATGCACAAACTACATATCTTAACAGTACTTATGTCACTCTGTTTTCTTAAGTATTGTAAGCACAATGAAATCATATTAATTTGCAACTATATTTTATTTAGCTTGAAATTCTTTATTGTGTCAAAATATTTTTAATAGTTATTGCCTATTTCTCTTCAAGATAAAAACAATTTAACACAATTAACATCTAAATTATCACCACAGTTTTAGTACCATTATATGAATTCAATATGACATAAACTCATGATACTTGGTACAGTATAAGAAGTACTGCCTTAGTTCACACATAATTGGTTAGAATTTGTTTTTATTCATTGTGGGTGTCCAAATGTATAAATCTACCTTCTGTAATAAACCATGGTTTATTCTAGATAGTAAATCCCAATTGGAAACCATGGATTGTTTGATTTTTAAATCCTGGCTTGTCCCTAACAAGCACATAAACAACAAACAAAAAAGTCTGTCTAAGCACATAAGCAAAATACATGCAGTTCACAAAGGGCAGTTCACAGAGCTTAATTATTTTAGGGATTTGCAGCACCACAAAGTTTCTTTGTTTTAAACCATTAAACCATCACAACAACTAAGCTAAAGTTTAGCCCATTTGTTGGGGATAAGCGTGTTGTGCAAAACACTTGCCTAATATTTAACCAAAAGTTAGGCAGTAGAATTATATGTTGAAATGCCATACCCAATCAGAGGAATCTCAATTATTTCTTTCTCTACATGAAGGAGGATCCTATCATGAAGGTCTTCCTCACTGTTAGGATGATATTCCACAGTGGCTGTTACATGAAGACCAGAAGCAACAGGTTTCTTTGGATTTTCCACAATTAGTTTGAACTGCAAAATTAAGAAATCATTCAATTCCACAAACAATGTTATCTGAACAAGAGAATCTTCTTTTCTGCCATACAACTACTATTCAGCAAATTACCAGTGCAAATAAACATTTTTTTTTAAAGGCAACATATTTCTTTTAGTTGCATGATCTGTTCTGGCAATAGCTAGAGAGAGAGAGAGAGAGAAAGTTAAATTATGCTGTAGATATAGGAAGCACAAAAAAATAAAAGAGGAAATACTGAAGCTAAATAAACAGTGAGTTTGCAATTATATCATAGATATAGGAAACATATATAGGAAAATGAAAGAGGAAGCACCAATTAGGAAGTTTACCTGCTAGAATCTTATTCTCATTTTCAAAGGGATTGTGATCTCATTCATGACTCATGTTCGCCTTGTACTATGTACACTGTAATATCTTGTAAGATTATTTCTCAAACTGACACCCTGCAGATATTTTGAGTACTGTATTGCGTATCTTCTCCAGCCATTGTAAATCTATACCTGTAATGGCCTGGTGATGGCACAGTAATCTAACAGATTTAGCACCAGACTTAGAAATACTATAATAAATCTGCATTACTAGACAATGCAAAGTTACATATTTCCTACCTTTAAATTTTAACTTTTTATTCACTGAATTCTTGTTTCATCTTCCTACTGCATTACTTTATTCCAGATTGTAGACAAGTTTCTAACATATATATAATTGGAGGAATCAAAACAACCCTCCCCCCGCAAAAAAAATATGCAGGGAAGAAATGATAACCACAGCTCTTCAGAAAGGACTAGTGAATTCCAGTAACCATTCGGGATCCTTTTTTTCTTTCAGTATGCCCCCCCTCCCTAAAAATGAGCACCCAAAATAAATGTCTGTTACTAAAGAGGTTCCTGATTAGGAATCACTGGGTTTGATGCTGCTGAAACAAAACTAACCCTGTCCAATCTGATTCGCACACTGGATGAAAAACAGTTTGTCCGTGTCTTAGAGAAAGAGCTAATTTCAAGGTTAAGAAGCAGGGGGGTTTCCCAACCCTAACTCAGGTCCTGATGAAGATTTCTAACGTCTTCACCCCACTCCCTTAGTGAGCTCGCCTTATTCGCGTCCCACCTGAGACAGTCCCGGAGGTAGTAAATGAAGCGAACAGCTGTGTGTCTGCAGGTTTTGGATGCTGAGCAGCGCTCGGTAGCAACGTCCCGGCACCGCGTCCATGAACCGCAGCTCGGAGGGCGTAATGCGCACTCCGGAGACGTCCCAAACTCCTGCGGTGGCCTCCATGGTCCCGCCGCCCCCTTGCTCGCCTTCCCGGGAACTCATGGCGGCCTCTGAGCAAGCCAGCTTCGTACGCCGAGGGTTCGTGTCTCCAAGGAGACGCAAACTTCTTTTGCACTCAGCGGCTGGGGAGCGGTTGCCTCGCAACGGAATCCGGGCTCTGATTGGCGACTGGGCTTCAAACGGAAATTCCGCCCTAAAGAGCGGGGACAAAAACTCGGAGCCTCCCATAGAAACCCCTTGTCCCACTACTAGAGGAAGGAAAAGACGCGGTAGTTCGTTAGTGATGTCAAGCGGATCAGAAACGCTGCTCAGGAGTGAATGTAGGGGGGAAAAAAACTTTGTTTTGATATTTGTTGCTTCTACTGTTTTACGTTCTAGAGACAAAGGCATCTCTAGAGACTCAATCACCTACTGTACAGTAAGGACAAGGATAGATGGATGGTGGATTGATGGATGGATGGATGGATAATCTTACATACTTTTTTTCCCCCCATGGTATCTTCAAATCAGTCTTGACTAATGGCAACTGCATGTGTTACCTGGAATTTTAGGCTTCACTGTTACCATTTTTAACATGGCAGCCGAGGCCTTTTTTCTAACTTTAGGAAAGTGTGTTTTTCTTCTGGGCCGAGGCCATTTCTTTTGGTATATGAGAACTTGCCTTTTCAGCAGCTAAACAATGGAGAGCATATTCTGAAAAGTTCTTGAATACACTTGCAAGTTTTAAAGATACAATCCCGGCTGGGAAAGGGATGATGTAACCCATAAATTTGCCACTTGTGGCATGTTATCTGTAATCAGTGTTTTCTGTTGTTCAATTCTCATGTGTAATCAATGTCTTATTGATTACTTGCTTTCTGACATATCACATATACTGAATTATGTATCATTTGTTTCTGTACCCTGTAAAAAGACTTGACACCCCCTCCCCTTAATAAATTCCTTTTATTTTGCCTGAATTACTGGGTGGTTTGTATTTTCGGGTAGGCTAAGAAGCTTTGCAAAGGTAAAATTGTTTTCTCTCCCACATTCAGAGAATAGGTCTTCAGCTCCACACCACTCAGGGTGCCTGAGTTTTTAAGGCAACACATGGACAAGTCCATCTAGGTTTCCTGGTAACATTTTCAGAAGCACTTTAACATTACGTTTTTCCTAGGGCTGAGACAAAGTGACTGGCCCAGATTAACTCTGTTGTGTACATACATAAGGCAAGATAAAAGCGCACCATCTTCTCATTTTGTAGCCAGAAGGATTTCCACTCAAAAAGGATTGCCAATGTCTTTTACCTCGGAATTAAAAGCAGCAGAATGGGGATGTCAGACACACACTATATATACACAGCTTCTCCGTATCTGTCAGTGATGTTGCTTTCTCTCATGGATTTCACTGAAACCTAACCCTAACCATAGGTGGATTTCCATCCAAATAAGATCTCCCCATCCCTTTACCCAAGATATTAAAATCGGGCACAACAGAAATATAAGAGGCCCGCTATCCATAAAGCGTCCCTCATAATGTACAAGTAGGTTTGGTTTTTCTCATTGATTTCATGAAAGCATAAAAACATAGGTAAACTACTATCCAAAAGGGATTTCCCCATGCATTTTGCCAAGATACTAAATGGATATGTAAAAGTCCCACATTCCATAAAACGCACCTCCCAATATAGCTGTGATGTTTGTTGTTCTTACTGATTTCACAAGAGCCTAACCTAGGTGGATTTCCATCCAAATAGCATTTACACATCCATTTAGCAAAGTTACTAAAATGAGGCAAAATAGAAATGTAAGAGTCCCACTATCCATAAAGAACCTCTCTGAAATTTTCTGTCACATTGGTTTTTCTCACTGATTTCATGGGGGCCTAACCCTAAGCTTAGGTGGATTTCCTTCCCAATGGGATTTCCCCATGCATTTTGCCAAAAGACTAATATAAGGCAGAATTGAAAAAGAAGAGTCCCACTAACCGTAAATGGCCTCTCCAAACTTTTCTGTCAGGTTGGTTTTTCTCACTGATTTCCCTTCTGATCCAGAAATATTTGTATATTCCTTTCTGGTTTCTAATCTGTTTTTGAGTCCAGTTCAAAGAGCTGCTCTTTAATTTATAGTTCTTAATTATTTGGTACCTCAGTCACCCCAGGAATTATTTTCCCATGTATTCCAGATGAGATCCATCTTACGGCTGTAAGGAATGGTTAGACTGCCTATTTTGCTTCTGTACCTCAGGCTTCTGCTGACATAGGAACTGTTTGGCTGAAGGTCAGTTAAAGAAACTAGGAATGCTTTT